GAGTAATGAAAACTGAAATTACAACAGCTGTAAAGTAAACAAAGTCAGCTTTCTTACTTGTTACTGCTGGAAATTGTACTTCATGAAAAAAGTCATTGATTGGACCAATTCAGTGTTTAACTGTAGTTACTGTATAAATAAATATCATCCAGCCATGACTACACGGGAGCAGAAAAGTTTATCAAGCACATACACACCCTGCTGCTAGCATGGCATCCCAAACACATATACAGTACATCTGATGGCTTAGTGTTGATTTCTCTAAGTTTTTTAATTTACACACGACTCAGTTTAACAGTCATGTTTTTTATTATTTGAAACATCTCGCCTTCTGAAATATACTGTATAAATACTTTGCCGTTTTCTGTCCTCACCTCTGAATATTTGCAGTATTTGAATTCTGAATTTGGCCCACACACAGAATACTACATGACACTCTTTTTAGGCTCAGCTTTATTTGAGTGTCTTTTCTCAGTTTCTATGGTTTCACTGTTTCTTTCCCCTGCAGCATCCGTGTGTGTGTGTGTGTGTGTGGTTTTCAGCTATTTACATAGCTACCAGTGGGTGAGCCCTGTTCAACAAGCCTATGAGATTCAGGCTTTCTGAAGGCTTATAAGCTGTGGATGAAATTTAAAGTCACATTAATAAAGCTTAAGAGGATAAAGATGAGCTGTGTGTCCTTAGAGTAGAGCGACAGAGCTTGGAGTGTATTACAGCTCAGTAGCATTCATGGCTTCAGGTGTTGCATAGCACTGCCATATTATTGTGTGTGGTTGGGTTGCTCTGTTAGGCACTGGTAGAAGTGTTGCATTTCTTATGGCATTATCTGTTTTTGGAGATGCTACTAAGGACTAAACCCTGTTTGCTGAAGGGCCAGGCCAAACGTCACTTGGTAGACAAATAGCTCATTCAAACTTCAGTTTATTGTTATGGAATCCAGAATGTTGCTGCTCTAAACCTTATTCATGCTCCTTACAGTCATGGGCTTTAAGCACTGAGATCAAACTTGTATTTGCTGTTTGACATGTTTTTCCTATATTGTGATCGTGACAGTCCTCAGACATGCATTTCACATGTCTCATTGGTCATTTGTTAAACATATTTGAAGAGTTTATGTGCATGATCTGATTTGAGTCTTAACACATTTCTTTCATTTTAAATTTATATATGATGGCAGTTTGTATTGAGCATGATTCTGTACCCACCTCTCTTACTTTATCACTAAGAGAAGAATGCGGAAGGGAGAACTACACCTCGAGAATATTATTTTTGGCAAATTAGAACAGTCCTCCCTTCCTTACAGATTAAATCCCCCAGCCTGTTAAAGATCCTGGCAGGCAAACCTTGATGATCTTGGAACCTGCATGTTCTTCTTTCATATACATTGTATGATCATTTTACACACATTAACCATGAGCAACAAGCCCTCACTGTGAACTAGGAGGAGTCTTTAGTTCCCTGGTGTACAGGATTCCTGCTCTTTTCTACAAGAAAGACAAAAAAAAAATCCTTACGGCCTTTGCAGAGCAATGAAGTGATTTCAAAGATTCCAGCACAGTGGCACTGGTCATGAAGACAAGAATGGTGAACAAAGATGAAGATAATTATCCCAAGCAACTCTTTTATTGGTATATTACTTATATTCAGTCTGAATAATAACTTTTCTAGTGGTCAGAGATGAAAACAGTGGTGAAAAAGGCAGAACTTAACAACTACCGTCCTATGAACCCCTGCCCGGTGTATGAGAGGACCAGCAAGGCCCTTTTTGTTTTTCATCAGCGTTGAAGATGAAGTCTCAGCGTCGCAGCGGATAAAAACTGGCTGCGACAAGACCCGTCTCTGCTACATTACATCTAATGGCGCTGGCAAAAACTGGAGTATGGTGAAACATTTGTTTGACGACCTGAATGAAATTAAGAAATGGGCCACATTTGTTGTTGGGCCAGGTCATGGTTTTCGAGCAGTGCACAGAAGATTGATTGTTCTACTTTATGCTTGAGCCAGGTGGTGACAAACATGGGCTTGTCCTTTGTGGAAAATCCCCTCGACACCTTTCCTTTAGCCGGCCTTACTGTTTCCTGTGTGGGCGGGGCTCCTTAGCATAGGAAGCTGACTCATCTGTGACAATTGTTAAGAACAAAGAAGTTGGAGGGCTGCATGTGGATTTCTCATTTGTTTGCACTGTATAAATGACATAAGTTTGAAATGCTTTCCTGCCACAAGTACATTTGTTACCCAGTATATTAATGAAGTTTTGTTAGTGGTTAAACAATTGTTTGAATAATATGGTTGGAAAACATTTGTTCTTGATGTGAGCTCACCTTAAAATTATTAGTTGAGTAGGAGAAATATTTTAAGTTTTACAAAAGAAATGGACTTTTTCTGCCCTTGCTCATCATTGAGTTTATTAATTCCAAGAACCAGAGTTTGATTTAAAAATAACCTAAATATTCTACATCATCTTTCTTGGTCCATGAGGAGCTGCAGCCGGCTAATTGATTCTCCATGGGCTAGGTTGGGTTCATTTTGGATTTTTTGTATTGTGTTGAGTTGGTTAGCCCTTGGTCAGTGCATTTAGATTCAATTTTGTGAATAGAGCTGACATCATAGGTGGTGTAGCCAGGTTTGAAGGAGCTTTTTTGTTTTTTCTGTGCTTGCAATGTTCTTTGTGTGTCCATAAGCAGGATAGAGTAGTTGTGGAGATGCAGCAGCTGTATGGGACTAATAAATTAAGATAATTTATTACCAGTTCCTGATTTCCTTCCCTTGCTGTTGGTGCCTAAAATTCACACCACCAGTAACTACATGAAGAGAAGTGGTGAGTCTAGGGAGGTAGACTAAGGTTAGGCAGACCAGGTCATTGTATTAATTTGGTTGTGCAGACAGGAGTATGGCAAGTGTGCACAAATTTGTTTTGACAAGCACTTTAAATTGTCTGACAACCTAGGAGTAGATATCAGTTTCTTCTCCAAGAAGTTTAATCAGTGTCAAGTTATAGGCACAGCTTTGATTTTGCCCTTAAACAATTGGTGTATGTTGGTTGGGGTGGCCTACCTGTAGTGGTTTATCCTGACCACAACACAAACTTTCTAAACTCTTTGTCCAACTGAGAGGTTAGTCAGATGGTCATTGCTCCTGCAGTCCTACGGTCTGGATATTGACTGCACTAAGGGAACTGATGATGTGGTTGTGGATGCATGCTCAAATGTGAAATGGTGAATGTTGTTCCTCTCCCTGTTTCTTCTCATTGTCCTCTCATTTGCTTTTTTCAAGGTAACGGAGGCCTAGATAGTTTGTATTAGTGATGGCCATATGATGCCCCGTGAAGCTTTGAACCCCTTTGGACCATTGTATCAAAAATTGGTTCACTACTCGAAGCTTCATTCATTGAGCATGTGGGTGGCATCTGCTGGCACAGTGGTTGTGGTACAGCCTTGCAAAGGTGAGACATCTTCCCCAGCTTTGGAGAACACCCTTTCACAAGGCACAGAAGATGCTGGTGTTGCCAGGAACCGTTTGTCCAGGTTGAACAGGTATGAGTATTTGTGCATCGTCCAGTAACCTAAGAGGACCTGTGATCTGTCCAGAGGAGGAGCAAACAGATATCACTGAACCTCCACAATGGCATCTGCAGTAGCGTTCTGAGATTTTCTGGCATCTTCTGCATTTTTGTCGAGCAGCTTCCACAGGTCAATGCCTGAAAATAAAACATTACAGGACATTTATAAAGCATTTAATTACAAGGAAATAAATATATAAATATAAATGTGGTTAATGGTGTACCCGTGGAAGCCGCAGCAGGTTCTGGATGTGCCGGTGTTGATACATCGTCATGGGGTGCGTTTTGGATTAAGGCAGCACACCGACTTCAAGTGGCGCACAGCCGCATCAGCATTCGTTGGACTGTGAAAGCCAAGTGTTACAAGTATAAACTGTGTTGTGTATAAACAGACTTGACAATAAGGCTTACATCTTGGAAATATAAATTACCTTCTTCGATGGCACCAATACAAAATGTTCCCACACTTGTGACCGTTTCCTTGATGGCTCCATAGTGAGGCAATCCAAAATGTGTCGACTAGGTAGGACAGAGCGTGGTTTCATCCATCTTAAATACATCTGTATCATGCCAATGTTTCAAAGCTCTGCCTATTGAACCAAACCAGTCATCTGATTCAATCTGAATGAAGCAGAGAAGTGGTTTGAACGTCATTCACATGGTTTTTCCTGATTTGAAGCAAGCTCTGGAGCCTCAGTATCAGAGGGAACATCACTAGTGTGTAAAATTTGTGGACATGCCAAGGGTATGACTCAGCCTGTAATTTATGCATATTAGTTACACTTTGCTTTCCTTTGAGGCCTGTATGTGGTGCAACAGTCTTCTTGTCCATCAGCTTTGTCTTTCTTTGCTCTCTTTTCCATGATTTGACAGGTAGGGGGAGTTATAATCCAGTATCAGTTGGATGCACCCAGGCTTGGCGATGGCTTCTGCCCTGGCTGCCTCTTCTCTTTATCCACTAATTTTTAACACCTCACTCACCCACCCTACACCACTGAGTGACTACACAGCACATTGTTAGTGTTTTGTAAGCTTATTCCAAGTTGGAACTAATAATAAATTGATTTGTTTGCTTGAAGCCTGCATTGCCTCCTTTTGTCATGGTTTTTAGGCCAGGATGTGCACAAAATCCAAACGTATGGCTCATCAAAAGTGGACCAGCAGTTGCACAGATCAGGCTTACATGATGTGTGTATAAACAGACTTGACAATAAGGCTTACATCTTGGAAATATAAATTACCTTCTTCGATGGCACCAATACAAAATGTTCCCACACTTGTGACCGTTTCCTTGATGGCTCCATAGTGAGGCAATCCAAAATGTGTCGACTAGGTAGGACAGAGCGTGGTTTCATCCATCTTAAATACATCTGTATCATGCCAATGTTTCAAAGCTCTGCCTATTGAACCAAACCAGTCATCTGATTCAATCTGAATGAAGCAGAGAAGTGGTTTGAACGTCATTCACATGGTTTTTCCTGATTTGAAGCAAGCTCTGGAGCCTCAGTATCAGAGGGAACATCACTAGTGTGTAAAATTTGTGGACATGCCAAGGGTATGACTCAGCCTGTAATTTATGCATATTAGTTACACTTTGCTTTCCTTTGAGGCCTGTATGTGGTGCAACAGTCTTCTTGTCCATCAGCTTTGTCTTTCTTTGCTCTCTTTTCCATGATTTGACAGGTAGGGGGAGTTATAATCCAGTATCAGTTGGATGCACCCAGGCTTGGCGATGGCTTCTGCCCTGGCTGCCTCTTCTCTTCATCCACTAATTTTTAACACCTCACTCACCCACCCTACACCACTGAGTGACTACACAGCACATTGTTAGTGTTTTGTAAGCTTATTCCAAGTTGGAACTAATAATAAATTGATTTGTTTGCTTGAAGCCTGCATTGCCTCCTTTTGTCATGGTTTTTAGGCCAGGATGTGCACAAAATCCAAACGTATGGCTCATCAAAAGTGGACCAGCAGTTGCACAGATCAGGCTTACATGATGGTTAGTTTGCATGTCGAATGAACTGTGGGGAAACAAACATCCGTATCTACCACAACTGATATTTTGTTTCCCCTCATTGAGACTTGAAGTATGATGCTGTGTATTAATACTATAATCCCATTTACAACTAATGCACAGTTCTATTCACACTCACTGGCCACTTAAGCTTCATTTTTGGTGAAATTGTCAAGCGTACAAGTTTGAGGTCATTAAAGCAGTGTTGTACTGGATTATGTTATATTTAGTGCCTATTGAACCAAACCAGTCATCTGATTCAATCTGAATGAAGCAGAGAAGTGGTTCGAACATCAGTCACATGGTTTTTCCTGATTTGAAGCAAGCTCTGGAGCCTCGGTATCAGAGGGAACATCACTAGTGTGTAAAATTTGTGGACATGCCAAGGGTATGACTCAGCCTGTAATTTATGCATATTAGTTACACTTTGCTTTCCTTTGAGGCCTGTATGTGGTGCAACAGTCTTCTTGTCCATCAGCTTTGTCTTTCTTTGCTCTCTTTTCCATGATTTGACAGGTAGGGGGAGTTATAATCCAGTATCAGTTGGATGCACCCAGGCTTGGCGATGGCTTCTGCCCTGGCTGCCTCTTCTCTTCATCCACTAATTTTTAACACCTCACTCACCCACCCTACACCACTGAGTGACTACACAGCACATTGTTAGTGTTTTGTAAGCTTATTCCAAGTTGGAACTAATAATAAATTGATTTGTTTGCTTGAAGCCTGCATTGCCTCCTTTTGTCATGGTTTTTAGGCCAGGATGTGCACAAAATCCAAACGTATGGCTCATCAAAAGTGGACCAGCAGTTGCACAGATCAGGCTTACATGATGTTAGTTTGCATGTCTAATGGACTGTGGGGAAACAAACATCCATATCTACCACAACTGATCTTTTGTTTCCCCTCATTGAGACTTGAAGGATGATGCTGTGTATTAATACTATAATCCCTTTACAACTAATGCACAACAGTTCTATTTACACTCACTGGCCACTTAAGCTTCGTTTTTGGTGAAATTGTCAAGTGTACAAGTTTGAGGTCATTAAAAGCAGTGTTGTACTGGACTACGTTATATTTAGGAATCTATATTTCATCCTCCCCAGCCAGATGCATGAGGGTCTGAATATTAGTGACACCTAAATATGTAGTCTAGTACAACACCACTTTTAATTACTCCAAACAATTTCACCAAAAACAGAGCTTCACAAACAGGTGTTAAGGCAGAAATGTCACATATATTGTACACAACTGTACCTCAAAATGGCCAGTGAGTGTACATTTTAATTTCAGCTTCAACCACCATGAAGATTATATACACTATGAAGCTGTATTGACCAAGGATAAAAAAAACCAAAACAAAAAAGGAAAGCCATAGTTCTGTTGGACTACAGCAAACTTCCTGGTTTCCCATGGAAATACAACAGGGAATCCTGTTAAAATTGGTCAAAATAGTCCCCCCATGGTGGCCTGGCACAGGCATTCCTTTGTCTACCTCCCAGAGAACAGGTGGCATGGAGGTAGAATCGTCCTTGTTGACCAGCAACTGAGGTGGTGGCGGCTTCGTTAATGCACCAGGGAGCAGGAACTGAAGTGGTGACATCAGCAGGTACTCACTGGCAGTGACAGGAACAGACTGGACTCCTGTCAGAGAGTTGGGTTGCAGAGGTTCTGGTACACAGGGAGTCGAGGCTTTGACTCAGGTACAGGCAGAAGGGCTCAGCCTGCTGTGGCTCTGGTGCAGTGGGATAAAAAAAAATAAAAGACAGTACGAGTGGGGACACTGCAGTGCTGAGGAACTGGGGAGGTTGTCATTTGTCTCTCTCTTAGGGGCACACTTTGCTACATGAGGAACAGGAGCAGAACTGGGGCTACCAGGCTTAACACTAGCCAAAGCTAGGTTGTCTGGAGATTAGCAGACCAGATATTAGCCAAACTAAGAACACAATTAACCAAATCATCAACAGGTGAGACAGGCTGGGAGCTAAATTAACAGAGTAGGTCCTTTCTGAGATACTTTCTGAGAAACACAGGCAAAAAAACTAACATGCCAAGCAAAAGCAGACCAAGGGGTGTGATTAAATAAGAGGAACACAAGCAAACTACAATGAAAACAAGGGCTAATGAACTCTAACCATATAACACATGAAACAAAAAGCACCTGACTACAGAACAAGGAACAAACAAAACAACAACAAGGTCTATGAAAAAAACGGTCAGGGAGTTTAGCAAACATAACTAAGAACAATGTATTACAAGAGTTAAACAACCCACCTGAGGACTAAAGGCACATGGGGGCAGAGTCCAAACAAAAGCAGGCAATCTAACACAGGAGAGCATCACGAGCGGGCACGCACAGAAAGACCAGCAACGAACTGAGGAAAGTGGCATGAATATATAGGCTGGGCCAGGGAAGGTAAGGAGCAACAGGTGAAACATATTGAGGACAAGCAGGGGCAGTCAAGCTTGAGCTAATTAAATATGCTTCAAAATAAAAGTCCAAAACAGGAAGTCAAAACCAAAAACCACATATATAATTAAGAAAAGTTAAAGTTCATACAGATTAAATTATTCAGATAAGTTGAACATTTATCTAAGAGCTACACATTTGATTAGTTAGTGACTATAACTGCTGTAACTGTTTAATCATTCCACATATCACTCTTTAAAATTATAGTCTATATCTTTTATTTTCTTCATTCTAGTCAAAAAAAATCAAACGCACCTCTGCCCAGGATGCTCTGTTATTTATTATTACTGTTGTAGTTGGTAGTTGTACAATTAGTGATGGAGGATTGTATTAAGAATATGGACTAAATTTACATTTTAGTGATTTCTCTTTCATCTTGGCGAGCTTGATGAATTTGCACAAATCTTTCACTTATAGTCTTAAATTTCCTTAGAACTGATAAATGATATAAATGCAAGTATACCATAACTGACCCAGCATATTTGGGTCCAGGTGATTTCAGAACTGAAAAATATCAGTTGTTCACAAGCTTATAGGACATTATTATTATTTCTGGTATTTGTATACCAGTATACAAATAGTATACTGAGTCCAGTATATGAAACCATGGGTTCAACTTCAAGGGGTAACGCTGAATTAAACTGAAGTAGACCAAATTCAAATGGTCCCAGTGGTAAAACCCGACAACCGAGTAACGGGGTAGTTGTTGGGGATAATTCCGTGCAGCAGGTCAGGAACGAGGGGTTTGGAGCCAGCGGGACACCGGCGCAGCGTCACGGGTCGAAATGTTCAAATGTTAAACAAGAAGGAAAATCTTTGGAGACGAGCGAGGAGAGGTCTGATGTTTACTGGTGGGCGGCTGAATGGCTTCGCCTTCCTGTGCCCAGATCGCAGCGTGAAGTAGGACTCTGAAGACTAGGACCCACCCTGTGCGCTCCGAGGACAGGGAAAACGGACATAAGGCTGCGCCCTGGAGTCCTTCGGCATTTTCAGATAGAAATGCTGCCTCCTGAAACGTTTCCAACGTCGAAGGAAACTCCCGTTTTCAAACATATCAGCCGACAGGGGATCCAGGGTCCAGTAATTTCCCTTCCCGGGATTCCCAGGCTCCCGGGGCATTTTGACAAAGCAGTCATTTAGAGACAAATTGTGACGGATTGCGTTTTGCCACCCATGGAACTTCTCCCTACAATATGTAAAGCGCTGGCTGATAAAAATCGCATATCTCACTGAGAGTGAGTCTTGGAGTGTCCCTCCTCCCGCACTGGAGGAGTTAACGATGAATGTTCTGAGTCTGAATTAGTCCCATTTAACTCTGACAAATGCGAGCTCCTCACAACTTCACCGTCGTCTGTTTGTCCTTCCACGTCAATTTCTTTGGGCTTATTGTAGATTATTATTCCTAGTGTGTATTAGCAGAGGTGGAAAAAGTATTCAGTCTCTACCAGTTAATGAGACCCCTCTACAACAGACCATAAGGAGGAGGAGTGCAAACCGGTGAATAGGTACAAAATAAATTGTAGACAATAATCTCTAAACTAAAAATGAGCAAAGTCTATATAAACACCATATATAGTGTTAAGGTTACGATTTTGACACTTGGCGGCAACAATGTAAATGCAGCTAACTGGACATGCTTGTTTACATTCAGCAAACTGTCTTTAAGATTTAATAGATGTAGCTGAGTGAAAAGTGAAATAAACTGCCTCTGAAATGTGGTGGCATAGCAAATATACAAAAGTTTTGTTTCTAACTTTTATGTTCTTGGCTTACACAACTGTCATTTTCTTAGGAGCTCTTCATTATTTCACTGTTTGGCTTTCTCTCTCTCTCTCACTGGCTGTTTCATGTAAGAGCAAGATGTAATCTGTTTTGAAATAATAGCTGCACTGTATCAATCTGTGTGGGGCCACGCACTTGGCACACAGGCCTGTCCTGCAGGGTGGGCTGAGGAGACTGGGAAGTCTCATTAATAAGCACGTCTCCACTTTACCTCTCACTATAGTTTAATAGGATATTTGTACCCCCCTGAAACTATATTAGGTATTTGCCCTATGTAAGGGGCTATACACAGTGTTAGGTATTTTTAGTCAGATAGATATTGGATAGATACTTGATGTATTAGAAATGTTTAGAGTAGACAGGATGTCTAGCTCAGGCTGTTAAATGCTTAGTCATTCTCATGAGTTACTGCAGGTTGCTTATGGTCAAGGATAACTAGATAGAAAGTTGATGACTGTTAGAAAAGAGGATGTTTAATATTATTATTATGACGTGTATAACTGTAGCCATAGCCTTAGAATGTTTTTAGCTACACACCACATAATCAACAGACAATCACAAATTGATTTTCTTCATGTTTTGACTACTGCTCTGGCCAGCTGCAAAGCTGGCACCGGGAGACGTCACGGTTTGGCGTTCCTGTGTAGAATGGGGTTAGCCCGAAGTGATAAAATGTATAGGCCTGTTGTGGTTCAGGGTCTTTCATCTTTCAGCTGCCTGCGTGCATGTTGGAGGTGCAAGATACCCAAGCGTGTAATGTTAATTTTTACCTGTGTTCATTGAATAAATCAGCACTGTTTCCAAGTTACTTGGACTGCTTTGTCTCTCAGAGTCAGCGTGGTTAAGAGTACAGGTACAACAACATGAAAAAGCCAGAAAACATATTGGATGTTTCATACTGAATTTAATGCAAGCTCCCACAAAAATCAAATTTTCCCCCCCCTCACAAAAACAGAAAGCAACACAACATGCTGAGGACCTCAGTGCACCAGTTTTACCAGCAACAACCCAGGTGAACACAAAAATATTCACAATTAGAAACTATGACACAAATAAATAACTTTAACATGTGCAACCAAATGTGTCTCTACTAAACTTAGTCTCGCTGCCAGCCAAGGTCAAGAAAAGTAAATTGCTTTGCAGTCAGTAACAGTGAACATAACCCTGAGCTCAGGTTGCAGTTTTTGGTCCCTTACAGAAATAAGTTTGTACTGCAGCCGTCAGGCACCGTCAACCATAATACATAAGCATCACTGAAGCCATTTAATTGTAAAAGGTCAACAATCTTGACTAAACTTTCCACTGAATGCATTTGGTTCTTATAGTAACACTGTAGTGTCTCATTTATTTGTCCCAAATAATACCACTGCACAGTCTGTGCTGCATCTGTATGTCCCTCCATTTAGATACAGAAAAAAAACAAACAGCTGTATAAGTTCTCTCACATATGTTAGGTTACACAAGTAGCACCAGTGTAGTAAAGACTTAAGCACAGATCACTTTCAGATGTCCTCTATTTTTGAAATGTCAAGCACAGAATTTCAGAGAGTTTTAAGCATTTAATTTTTTTTTTTTTTAACTTGTTTCCTTTTTACTAGTTTATGGTTTCCCTTGATGTATACAGCACCACAGGAACAGCCATGGAGCTGAAGGGAAAAAGTGCTGTTGCCTGAGGTACAACGTTGTAGGAGTGAATTTAAATACCCCGAGTAACATGTAAAACGCTAAAGCTGCTCCATTATATTCGTCTACTACAGCGGCAGAGTTTATTTTATGCAATATTTTTTGAAAGTGTGTCACATGTAAACATAAAAACCTTTGGTCTGTGTCGGTTCCCTAGCTGGAGTGTTTCCGCTGAACTGAGGCCAGCCTCACAAAGTTTCCGCACTTGAGGCATCGCGAGTTGGATGTGCCCTCTTTCTTAGGAATATGCCAGCAGTTGACACAACGCACTCTGTACTTCTTGTACCTTTAAAAGCCAAAACAGTATCTATGTCTCAGTATAGGACTCTCATTCTAGCACCATTCCATTCTTACAACCCCAAATCAGAAAAGTTTGGATGCTATGTAAAATCTAAATTATAACTGATGGCGTCACATCAAATAATGTGCTGCTGTAATGTTTTCAGTGTAATACAGGGCACAGATGATGTACAAATCACTTTTTTCAGTTTAATTTTACATACTGTCCCAACTTTTCTGATTAGGGGTCATAAGTTCATGAAAGAGAAATCATAAGGCAATAAACACACTGGGTTCATCCCAAGTCTCTTAAGGTGCATCCCAATTCACTTATTGTTCCTCTGTGCTTGATCCTTGCTCAACCTAGGTGTCGTTCCGCCTTGATGAAGGACACCCCAAAGCTCTAATTTATGCTCTGAGTAACGAGGAAGCTGAATGGAGGAACTGAGGACATGAGTGCATCCTTCACAGAAGCCTGTTACAAATTGACACTTCCCTTTATCAGAAATCAGCTGGTGATTGGAGCTTCACATGAAGGCTCAAGGAAAAAGGTGTCTCAAGTCATTTAAAACATTTCTGCTTGGCTCCTCTCTCCTTGCAGTTAGTCCTTGTATCTTACATGGACTGGACCAAGTAAAGATGCAGGTGCTTGCTCCTCAGAGCAGCTATAAAAGTCTAGGGAAGTCTGTGATCAATGCTCAAACAGAACAGCTTACAGGTCAAGTGAGGAATGACCATATAAGAGACATGAGATGCAGCCATCGACACTGAATGCTTCATATAATCATCATCATAATTACTACAATATGCATCTTATGGAAGAACTAAACATTCCATAGCACAATAAAAGAATTCCCTTTACTTCAGTACACCCCTGCAAGTTGCTGCGATGCTTTAACAGGTGCAACTGGACAAACTAAGCAGGTGAGTACAATGTTTTTGAATTTCACTAAGAAGTTAAAATTAGAGTCCCTATTTCTATAGGCTCCCAAAATGATCTAGTAGTTCAGCTCTCAAACACAGTTTCATGTTTTTAAAATATTCAGCATCAAGCAGTGTTAATGAAGCTACCTTATCCCACAAGCGTTGCAGAGTGGGGTCCCATCCTCTGCATCCCTCCACATGGGGGTCTTCCTGGTGCAGCACGATGCACAGACTTTACCCTCTGGTGGAACAGAAAAAAAAATAATAATAATAATAACACTTTAATGTTAGTCATTTTGATCTCAGTGTACTTTGAGACATCCTGTCAAGCAGCAGCAACATAATAAAAGTATTTGTAATGCAATAAAAACTTTTCAGAGCATTAAGGCTATATTTCAGTGATAAGACAATTTTATAACCTGGCTGAAATAACATCTAGCAGGGGAAGATTTCTCATCTGTAAACTGTACATTCTCATGTATGACGAGTATAAAAGTTTACTGTAACATCTACAATTTCTGTTAACAGAACAAGCCTGTATACACCTGCAGACTTGGCTGTCTGGTCTCTGAATACTGGAGATACAATGTGTTCATATTAAAGTGTATGCAAATTTCTAATTTTGAAAGATTTGTCATTTAAGATCAGCTGGGAAGAAGAGATGCTAATCGTTGCAATGACTTGATACTCCTGTCACTGGAAATACAGCAACTCAAAGCACTGGCTGTGCAGATGAAAAACTGCACATCATGGTGACGCAGACAACGACAACTGTGACTGGTTGCGTCGTATTTGGTTCACGTCAGTGTCAAGCTTTAGGATGCTTACAGAGCAGCTTCCCTAAAAACTCATCACATGTACGCCTGCCCTGTGATGCTGTTATGCTACATGTTTTAATGCAATGGCACCCTCCAGTGGGGAAAACGGGCATTTCATACAAAATCATGCTCAATATACTATTTATTGTTAATGTTGCTGGTGCTTTTCCTATTAAACACATGGTTGTATTCATATTTGGACATGTGCACCAAAGTTTCCACATCACTTGTTCTTCCTGAAGTTCTCCTTTTTATCTCCCCGTTAACATTTCTTTGTTCTGAGACAAACTTGTGATTTGGGGCTGTTAAACATTGCTGTTTGGAGAATATGTAGTAATGTTAATACAAACTGACAGCTTCATTGAACAGTGGCAGTACTCAGCTGTTACTCACTTAAACCAGCAGTCATCAGTTCACTCTCCTCGTCTGAGCTGCTGGTTTTTAGTGATTTCTGGGATGTACGTGTCCTCAGCTTTGGTTTTCTCACCTTCTTGCACAGCTTCTTGCTGTGATAGGAACAAGTGCAGTTTATATCACCATCTTCCCAGTTTACATCACAAGTCCCATGTGAAAATACAGCAAATCTGTCAGTACCTGTACTTTGAAGTTATGAGAAGCCGACACTGTTCCCTACTGTCGTCCAGCTCCCTGTCCATCCTAAACATCACTCCCTGGAAGTCTGGGTCTTGGACATCGGCACTCCGGCTGGGATGAGGTTGTTTTCTTGGAGTCTTGGCTTTCCACTGCTGAGTCGACGTAGAAGAAATTCCCTCATTTTGCTCTGGCCTGAGGTCTGGTTTTGATGTTGCAGAAGGCACGTTATAGGATTGCAGTTGTGCAAGCAGAGGTGGTAGTCCCTCTGTGGGGGCGTGTGTGTGTTCTGGCTTAGCTCCTGTGATTTTGTTATCTGGTTGTGGGGCTGGGTGACCCTTGTCTGCAGAGCTCAAGCAGAGTGGTGTTGACTGTAAAGATGGCAGGATGGAGCTCTGAGGAAGCTGGGTTTCAGATGAAGTGTCTCTAGTCAAAACAATATTTGCATTGCAGTCTAGTGTTAGTGCAGGCCCCAAGAGAGCCTCTTCATTTGAATTTAAAGTCAGCTGGGTATTTTGGAGTACACTGGAGATATGCATGTGTGGCAAAGCGTTTTCCGCGAAGGGAACATTCGGCATATCCTGCTCAGTAGACAAACAACTCATCTTCCAGTCCTGATTCCACACCGACTGTCCGTTATCACCGATCTTGACCTCTCTTCTGTCTTTGTAATGAGGTTCTGAAGATGTTGCTGCCTTTTCCCCCACCAACTCTAGTACAACAGTTTCTGTTTTTGAAGAAGACTGTGGCTGAATACTGAAGCCCACCTTGGAGTCTTTGACACAGCTCTGTAGTTTACCGGCTCCTCCAGTGGACTTCCCTCTCACATCATCCACAGCACTGCCAGAAGCTGTGATTTCTTCTCTGTCATAAATAAGAAGAGATGGCTTTAAAGCACAATCGCCACTTACACTGTCACTTCCAAATCCCTGCTCTATAACATCTGCTGCTGCACTCAAGGATTTGGCTGTTGAGTGGCTTAATTTTGTGATGGATGATACTAAATTTGGGTCTGCGTCTTTCGCGTTTCTTTGATGCAGGAGCCTCTCACACTGCAAGTTAATCAGACTCAGTACTTTCCAGGGGCTGCTGCCCTCACGATGTGACTCAACCAAAGTTGGAACCTTGCTGTTGTGGCTTTCCTCCATCATCTTTTCCACCTGATTATAAGCCGACATACAAGAAGACCAACTGTGCTGGCAGGAACCATTACAGGTTTGAAATGAACGTGCATCGCCTTTCTCCTTTTTGACAATAAACTGATCCTGCCTAGATGTCTCATTAAGCTGTGTTGTGGGTGAATCTGTGTCCAGAAAACTGTCATGGATGGGGGATGCTAGCTTGGAAACCTCTTGGAAAAGGTAGAAGAGTGCAGAGTGAGGTGCATCTTGTTTTGCTGTGCTCTGGTGTCCTTGGATAAAGGGCGCTCGGGTCCTTGGTCCTGTGCTCATGTTGAGGCACTGCCTGCATCATTTAAAACAATTTTAAAAAAGCCTTTAGATCAGAGCCCACACAGCAAAAAAAGGTGAAACTAAATGGCATTTCAAACATTGGCACAAGAACTTACCACCTTAGCTTGTACGCAACTTCTACAAGAGCTAACTGTTGTATAGCAGGAAAAGCTAGGGCTACTGCTGTGTTTAATGTTTTTGTTTCCAAACTGTGGACAGCACTGACAGTCTACTGAAAACAAGAACTTGGCATAGTTTACTTAAAGAGTCCAGGTTATTATAGCCTACATGGGCTAAGTGGTTGTTATAGTTTGTCATTTAAAAGCCTAACGAGGTCATTTTCCCTGATGACATATATATAATGAAGCCACCTGTATGAGAACATAAGTAACTTTTTATTCAGCTACTCATTTAACTCACCAGAAGAATTGTAACAAAACTTCTCCTCCCGCGGTTTAAATGTGTTAGAACACAAATGTAGCATTTTTCGTTCTAGAACGTTTCGTGGTTTCCTCAGTTCGACTGTCGCGAGCGCACAAGAGGTTGCAGTGATATAGACACGGTTTCATTATAATCGTGTTTAATCGGACATGACTTTAATTGAGAGTTTATATAACCACCACTTCTTTCCTATTTACAGCTGTAGGTTGACTTAACCCAGGCCTAAATGCTTTTGGCCCTACTCAGGACACTAAATGATGTTTGGTTTAGACGGTGTAGCCAGTGTTTGATTTCCTATTAGTTTGTATTCATGTCAAAGGAAATTCTACAGTTTTATGGAGATCTATCACTGTAGTTGGCCTGCAAGTAAAACAATCGTATATTCGGATCCATTAACTATGATCCTGCAGCACTCACTCACCACATTTGTGGTCTCTGGTTCCATCCAGTTCACAGATCCTCGTCTTTATCTCTCTATTTTGACCTGGCCTCTATGGCTAACGACGTCTTTCTCAGTTAGGCCTGATGAGAATCCTTCAAAATGTGGTCAAATTCAAACTGGTGAGTCCACCCGCGTCAGCAGACACCATTGCGTATTACTGTTGATGCTCACCTCAGATTTTCAATTTGATCATTTGTTAAATGATGAAGTGTACCGATTTAGTTAACTCCAACAGACGGAGCAGCTTCTACTAATTTGGAGATTTGGATAAAGAGTAGTTGCGCGGGTGTTTATGGTTTGCTCGATTACACCTGCCTGCAGCAAAGCACGTTTTGTGACAACACACCCATCACTTTAGCTGGTCACGCCTGCTGCTCATGCACTATACTAGCGTTGCTTTTTAAATTCTGGGTAATGAGGCCAGTAAAACTGATCTTGTTCCAAAACTTTAATATGACATACACAATTCATTTACATCTGTGCATAATTTGTACAAGTACAGTACTTCACAAATAAAGGTTTCCAAGCACACCTGAACCAGATCAACTAATGCAATGAGTAAGTGGCACCAGTAAGAGGTGGTTTAAAGTGTATTTGTCCGGTGACATTTTAAAACACAGTTGACCTTAATGAAATCTAAGCTCCATCTGTCTAAATTCTGATTTTTTTTGGTTAGATAAATCACACCCTTTAAGTCAGTTTGTCTTTCACATCGTTAGGATATTTCTCCTTCTTCTACCTGGCTTCTGTAGGACTGGTTGAGTCCAACACTTCTCTAGTACCATGCTGAAGAAAACTCTCAGGTTCATGATTTAGAGCCAGCTATAGGTCAGTGAATACTGATTGATGAGTCACTGCAACAGACACAAATGAGCTTTGCTCATAAAAATCAAAGTAAATGCTACGTGTACAACATCGGACAAGTGACAGAGGGTGATAATGATGGAGCGGCCAAAATGACTGAGAACATTATTTTGTGATACTTGTGCATATGAGTTGTAACAAGGAATGCTGTATTTAACATTGGACTTTGTTAAAAATTGGTCTACAATGTGCACCACAAATATAAAATCTCTCAAATGCTGTGGTGTTTTAACAAAGACTAGCTTATGATACTGAATGGTAACTGAGAACTGCTCACATTTTTAAATAGATCAGTTAAACCATCAGTTGTTTGTATAAGTAACCATTTTTTATTGTTACTTCCAGAAGTAACAATTTCATCTTAGATAAGACTCACAGCATCTGTCCCTATGTGACCTCACCTACAGACCTGTCTTGTCACTGGTTAACTGTGGAATCTGTACATCAGTAAGATGTCTTGAGAGGTGCTGCAGGCTTTAGTATCCTAGCCGTGCATCTTTTCACGGTCGCCCTCTCACTCATCCAGTACACATGTTGTCAAGCTCGCAGTGAAGCACTCTCATTTTGTTCCAGTCCGCCTCCTCATTGTGAATGCCTCTTCTCAGTGAGATTTGGGAACATGGCCATCCACGTAGAAGTTCCTGGTGACTTTGGGCAAGGTGAGCTCAATGCCGTCCAGCTCTGGAGTGAGAATGATCTGGCATCCCAGCCGCGAGTTCACCTGAAGCATGGGTGCCATGTCCAGCATGTCGTCCTCCCTAAGAACCGAAACGTCTGTCAAAATTTACAGTCATCTTCCATTCAGCCCATCACACACATTTGTGGAAATTCAAATGTCATGGTTACTGAATATGCTGTACCCTCAGTAAGAGACCTACCGCTCAACAGGCTCTGGTATTTTGTCAAAATGGGCATCACTCACATAGACATGACATGTTGAACAGGCCAATGATGCCTCACAGGCTCCTACATAAAACAGAAACGCAAATAATAGCTTTTGTCCTAAAACTATGGATCAAACATTTAAGTTACAGCTGTAACCGCATCCTCACCTTCCAGCTCAATTCCATGCTTGTGAGCCAGATACATGACATTATCTCCAACTTTGGCTTTAACTGGGATCCTCTGACCAGACCGATCTATATACACCACATTTACCCTAAACAAAGGCAAAAGCAGAAACAAAAGGAACCCTCTTGAAAAATTAACCCACACAAATTAAATCCAATATTAGATCAGGTTAAAAAACTAATTGCTCTTAATCGTACTGTTTACACACATTTTAGATGTGTAACATAGAGATGACATTTTTCTTTAAGTAAAAGTTGTTGTTGGTGTGTGGGCATTTGATGTGCTGAGACCTCATAATTTGGCTACACATACCTGATTCTACTAGTGAAACTTTGCAGTTTCAACCTTTAATAGTAGTTGTTATAGTGGTACAACTCTGGTTAAATGCATAGTGTGCGCTGTCAACATCGTACTGGTTCTCAGTAAATGACCAGATATACTTACACATCCTCTGGGTCTTCTGCATTGGAGCTGCCCTCCTCACAGCGGCGAAGACCTTTGGGGAAAAAAAGAAAACAAGGACATCGGGAGTGTTTTCATGGGATCATCAGCTTCCCTTGAAGGTACCTGTTGAGAGGAATGTTTGACTTGTTGTACAACCTGATCTGGCAGTGCTGGGGTGAAGTTACACAAGTTTCATTGGGGGGACTTTCGACTATTACTGATATCGTTCAACCACCTGCAACCCGAACTAAGCCGAAATCAACTTAATATCTGGCAAAAGAGGACTTATTACAATTTATTCAGACTTATCGTACACGAAACAGTCCCGAAAGAAAACTAGCATAGCACAGTTCCAGTTGTAAAAAGTGTTAGCAGGTTGCCCCACTTACCTATACTAGTCTGCAAATGTCGATTTATCGTACTTAAGTTATCAAAAGAACCCCTCTTTTGTAAATTAGCTACACTGTTCACACAGGCCTTTAACCTGTACAGTGGACATGTGCTACAGTCCGGTATAACTTGTGAAAGTCTCAAAGTCATCCCCGTACTCAACCGGACTGCAGTATAGACCGCCATGTTTCTGTTTTGGTCACATGGCTGAAAGTGGCCAATAAGAAAGGAGCGCTAGAAGGGTGACGTATTTTTCGTTATACACTACTCTGACAGCAGAGGGCGTTGCTGCTTCACACACTGCACAGTAACAAAGCTGAAGAAGCGTTTAGTTCGTAATGTAAATACTGGACTAGGTACTCATTCACAAATAAAAGTTTTACATTTGGAAATTGATTAAAGCAACAATATGGATTAACAACACAACATAAAAGTACTCATTATGTAGAATGACCCATGGCAATGATACTTATTTATACAGTCTATCATTAATTCTAATGCAGTGACATTTAAGCAGCACTTTCATGTTACTGGTCGAGATGAAATTGTTTTATACATTTACTCATGTAGTGTATTTAAATGCTTAAATATTTAATTAACATTTTTAGGTGATTGAACAGTTCAATTGCTGATTCTTCAAACTTCTAGTGCAGTACATTTCATAGGTTAATGCTATATAATTTTAGCTGGAAGCTATAGTTAGTGTTAACTTTTTACATGCAAAATTAGCTAATAAAATATGCAATACTGTCATACATTAATCTACCTAAAAAGTCTACTACTAAAATTTAGGACCTTGACTACATTTATCTCACTTTTCAGAATCAGATTAGTTCTACCTCTAACAAAATACAATCTATTTGTTATTACTTTACAGTACTACATTTGTTGCTGCTGTATTTTGTTCCAGCTGCAGCTCTGACCTGTCGTGTTAAAGTTCTGCCTCTGTTTGAGGAAGCAAGTCATAGTTCATAAAGTATTTCATATCACAGCGTTAACCTCCATACTCACCACTATCAGTATAACAGTAAATACATGATTTGCCATGTTTCTGTGCGCTGTAGAGAAAGACAAACCTAGATAAGAAATCGGATGTAGGTTGGCAGCAAAAATCAGTTTTCTATGTGTGAGACCAGTCGTGTGTGCAGACAAAGAAGTGATATTATGACTAGAGACGTGTGACATGCTCGGGCGCTCTGTCTGCTCCGTCTTGCCTGTTCTTTTCTATTGTTGACAACAGCTTGGACAGAAAGTAAGTTATTCTTAAAAAAAAGCTTTTAAACATACAATCTCTTTACAGAGCAGTAAATCCCCACAGAGAAGCATTGTGTTCAGATGCAATTTATGGCCTTATAAGGACTGATGAGTTCATCCACTGGGATAGCACTATAATTTTTGCTTCTTTTCATATTTTCCCTTAGGTGCCTCCTAATGATATGTGCTATCGTGAAGTTGGTCCCACAGTGTATTATAATCCCCCGTCTGGATGTGACCAGTCCTTCCATGTGACTGGCCATAAAAAGTATATGGGTCACTCCAGTTTTTTCGTTTATAGTAAGTGCGTTTAGTCCACTCACGGCATATAGATCATTAGACTTTATGTACTCTTGACTACACATAATGAAACACTATTACACTCTCATGGGCGTACGCTCTCTCACTCACACACCCACACAGAATTAGTGTCCTGGGACAGCTTACCTGTGTGTTTGTGAAGGCAGAGCATTTAGTATATAATTGGACCCTCTTGTCTTCGGGTCCTGCAGGTGTGTTTGTGTGTGTGAGAGGGAAAAAGAGATGTGGAAGGTGGAGGTTAATATGCTTGACTTAAAAATAATTAATGGCTTCTAGCAGTGCCTTCAGATTACATTCCCCTCATTCTCTGATGCCTATGCAGTACAATAACACACGCACACACATTCATAGCCCCTTATTTATATAAAATATTTAAATGACACTTCTTAACACAGACATGCACATGCAACACACACACTGTTGTGTCTTACTAAACTTGTGAGGACACTCACAATCCTTTCCCCAGCCTCTTACAGTAACCTTACAATCAGACTTAGATGCCTCACACCATCCCTAAGACTTAACCCTCAACCAGCACACTGAAGTTGTGAGGACAGACTAAAATGTCCTCAAAATGCTGGTATTGAAAAAAAAAGGGTCCACACAATGTAATGAAGATGTTTGTAATTGCTCACCCAGAGTCCAGCAGCTAGAGCATGTGTTGACATTTTAGCTGTGATATGTGATGAATGTCCCCAGAGTAAACCATGTGGATTTGTCCAGCTTATGTTTCCAAGGACAGATTAAAGCATGGAAAACACAACACTTCCCAGCAGTCCTGTGAGTACTGTGCAGACACTCCCACCGGAGCTCCCTTTATTGTTTTTTTAATGTAGATGGCTCTCATGTCAGATATATTTATTGCAAACTAAAAGTTTTACTATGAGTCTTTTTGAGTGTCTGGAAGCTGGGAATCAAGCTTCTTTGACCTGTCTAAAAGGTTAGTCTAGTCCAGTTCTATATTTTTCTACCCGTGAACAAATCCTCCCAAATACCAAAACCAACAGCGAGTTGATCTTACTACCAGAGTCTGGCATGGGCCCACTTTTGAAAACCTGCACCCATCCCCAACCCACTAAGCTCCATATCAGATCCAACTCATTACTCATAATTAAAATAGACTTTAAGCTACACAGTCACTTCAAAGTGCTTGAGAGTCGTGTTTTTGGAAAAGTGTCTGTTGACAGATGCAGCACCTGGGCTCTGCAGCTGTTCTCTTAGTGATGAGGTGCCTAGCTTGCAGCTATCTAATGCAAACATTTTTGGCACTATTTACAAGCAGCAACGCCACTAATAACATTGTTCTCACTGTCTGTAACCACGCTGGATTTCTAATCAAATTTCATATTTAAATTATGCTTATTCCACTCACTGCCTGCCCACATTAAGTTAATGTGATCATATTTTTTTACACTTTACACATCATTCTTCATGGGTACCCTCTGGGTACCTGTGTACCCAGCCCCTGTGCAGGACTCTGTTTACTACTGTTACATGTTGCCTGTGTAGCCAAAGCCTGATATAGCTCCTGTGTGCCGCAGGCCTCCATTGTTATGACAAACACATCAGTGAGACTCATTAGCCGCTTTTACACAGAGATTGTAGCAAACCGCAAGTATTTTGACCCTCCTTCAAGGCGACTTTTTCGATTTAAGCCCTTTTACACTGAACTTAAAAAAGCCAGCAAAACTCCACATCTGTGTTCATTTTACACAGCAGCCAGAATCCCAGTACTAGAGACATGATTCTTATCGTGGCTTCCAACAGTCCATGTACTTAATGGCTAATCTGCAAGTGAAACAAACTGGCTTTTATCTGATTTTGTTTGATATAGTTATAAATGGAAATTAAGAATTATTATGTTCTTCCATCACATTTGTCTGTTTGAGGACAGGGCTACACACACACACACAAGGTGTGGAGTAGAACAGACAGAAACATGTGTTTTGGCTGCATTCACACAAAATCCTTCCCACAGGGCTGTGCCAAGGTGTGATTGTGTTTATTCATGCTTTAGAATATAACAACAGCGAAATAATAATCACAAAACAAAGTTTGTTTTTGCTGATGCTGCTCCCTCTCCTCATTCACTGTCTAGCCCTCTCTCTCTCACTGGGATTTCCAACCCACCATTCTGCTTCGTCCCATTCATACAGGAAGTGGGGTGAACTCCTCCACTAACGGGCTTGTGGCTGAGGGCCACAGACTGGTAGTGGAAATACACAGAGATAAACAAACACTATGAGATATGAAATGTACCGAAGAGTATTAGGGCCACTGCATAATTTTTTTTTTTTAATTCTGACTTTATTCTCAGAATTCTGACTTTAAACTCAGAATTCTGATAATTTCTGACTTTATTCTCAGAATTCTGACTTTATTCTCAGAATTTTGAGAATAAAGTCAGAATTTTAAAAAAAAATTATGCAGTGGCCCTAATACTCTTCCGTAGTACCGTAGTATGGTAGAAATGTGATCTGATGCCAGTCTTATTTTTAAATTGTACCCCTTTTCTGGCATTTAAAAGGGTTTATAAGTCTAAGAGGCTTGTAGATTTGTAGAACATACCTGTATGAATTTGCATAAAATTAAAACATGACACTATCCAAAATTGGAGTTTTTCTAAGCATGTCAACGTGTGTGTGACTACAAATGAGTCACATGCTTACTCATCATTTGCATGCACATGTTACTACCCACATTTAATGCTGTTTCAGACACTGTAATTATCAATATCAGGCCACTGGGTTGAATGACAGCGGCTGTTTCATTTGATTTCAGCTGTTTTAAAGCCCTTCTTCAGGACGTCTGCTCTGAGTTAGATGGATGCCTGATTGTTGTCAGATATCTGAAAGGGTGTGCAGAGCTCAGATTTTTCATGGAGGAATATTTCCTTTAAAGCAGCTTTGAATTACGCAAGTGCCAGCAAACATTTACAGCCCAGAACTAATTTTTTTCTTTGCCCTGGTTCCCAGCAAACGAGACAATAGGCTTTTATAAAAACAACATTTTAAATGAATTTCAGGAAAAAACTGCCAGAACTTTTCAGTTGACATCTCACTGAACTTGACCTTAAAAAGAATCTATTGACAACAGGACATGTCTAGACTACTGAGTTCTATTTACTGTAATCTTATCATATCATCTTTATCTTAACGTCTGGAACCACTGTGAGTGTGTTTGTATGCCTGTGCTTACCTGTGCACATGAGCAGCAGTGTGCAAGCCGCATCATGACTGCCTTCTATCAGATGACTCACTCAAAACTCTGAGAGTACCTAATTAGAAACAGGTAGCAACAGAAAGCAATGCCCCTGTGCCCTTTGTCGGTGTGGGAATTCCTGTCTCTTAGCCTGTACAAAAGGGAAATGTGCCATCAGTGTGAGTAAACACAGCAGCAGTCTGGGAGCTGGTATTATTACAGGGAAAACAACCTCTGAGTCAGACTCTTGTGATGTTTATTCATCTGGGACACTTTCTCTACCATGTGTCACACATTTAAATGCAGGAATGTTTTAGGAGCTCTCCTGGGGGCCCAAGGCTGTGTTGCTTGTAATTAATGACCTTTTTCACACACAACACTAAAAACTGCACAGTGGTCAGGAGTCAAATGTTTGTTTTAGGTCTGAATGTGGTTTTGTG